TGGTTGGGCGTCACCACAACATGAGGAACTGTATGAAAGGGTGGCGGCATGAGGAAAGTGGAGAGCCACTGCTTCAGACCCATGAGCCCCAGTGACTTCATGCTTCAGAACAGTGCCTTGTCCCCTCGTGGACTTTGTTGCTCACCTCTAGACACCTCTGAAATGGGACCCAAGGGAAAAGTACGGGTTAGCAGCTTTGCCAGAGACCCAATGACTTTTTGGGTTTTAATATTTTGTGTTTTAGATGAAAGTTTGCATAGCAAGTTTGACTTTCATTTAACAATCCTACACATCTTGCCCCTGACATGGCTTATATTGTTTATAATGTATCAACCTTCCCGTTCTGTCCATTTTCCTGTGTTCTGTTGCATTCCTCTAGCCTCACTGCCCCTCCTCCCATGTCTCATCTTTGTTTCAGGGTAAATGTCATCTTTAAAAGGTCACATAGATAGGGTCACACATGATCACACACACATGGTCATGTATATGTGGCACATAGACAAGGATTCACAAAACTCATGGGACATATTCCGTTATCTTTTAACCCCATTATCCCACAAACTTTGAAGCCTTTCCATAGTTGATTCTTTAAGGAAGCACAGTAGTCACAGAAAATGATAAGTTACAATCCAGTCTCTTACTTGGATGGAAGGTGATCACAGGAAACAGCTTTATTTCCAAGCACAGGGTGTATTTTAGGGCAATAGCCTGAGGGCTTCCTCTAGATCAGTCAATCAGACACCTTTTGGGAATTTGAGTTTTATTCTACATTTTTCTCTCTGCTGAACTTCCTCTAGTCTTGATCAATCCAGTCAATCAGACTCTTTTTGGGAATTTGAGTTTTATTGTACATTTTTCTCTCTGCTGAACTTTCTAGTGTGTCCCTGGTCATAATGATGGGCAGTGGTAGTTGGGCATTATCAGGTTCTGGTCTCAGGTTAGTTGATGCAATGGTTCATGTGGGCTTTTAGTCCTGTGGACTAGTTTTTTATTTCCTTTAAGTCCTGATTTCCGTCATTCTCTACCCAAATGGAACAATTTGGGTAGAGATCAGTAGTTGTGTCTTAGAAAACAGTACACATGCTTTGAAGCTCCCAGAAGCTAATCACCAAAGTAGGCTGGAAAACACGTCTTCATGAACTATGTTGTGCCAATTGACAGTTATTCCACAAAACTGTGGTAGAGACCCAATGGTTGCCATAGGCTCTACCCAAGATGTTGCTTGGCATCCTATATAGCTGGCTCTCAGGTTACAGTTCATATAGTTTATTCTTGCTGTTAGGTGTCATCAGATCGGCTCTGATTCATAGCAACCCTACGTGTGATAGAGCACAACACCGCCCACCTAGCCCTACACCATCCTCACAATTGTTCTTAGATTTGAGCCCCTAGGTGCAGCCACTGTGTCAATCCATCTTATTGAGGGTCTTCCTCTTTTTTGTTGCCCCTCTACCAAGCATGATGTCCTCTTCCAGGGACTCATCTCTCAGATTATGATTATTACCTAAAGTGGCTTAGGTTGTAACTATTACAATGTTTAGACATTTAAGCCCCACCATGAGACTGGGAGAAAGAGGAGGCTGTCTACTCCCACAAAGATGTAAAGCCTGGGAAACCCAAAGGGGCATTCCTACTCTGCCCTACAGAGTTGTTATGAGTCAGGATCGACCGAGGGCAGTGGGATGGGATGGATGAGCCTTGCCGGGTTGCCCTGGAGTTGCCTCTGACTCATGAGCTCACGTGCGTCAGAGAAGAATTGTGCTCCAGAGGATTTTGAATCGTCAGGCCTTCTTTTCTTCCAGAGTCCCTCTGGGTGGACTTGAGTATCCACTACTTGGGGGTTAGTAGCCTATTGCACATTATCCACATGCCCTACTCAGGGACTCTTCACTTAGCGCTGAGTTGCTAAGGCTTGTCCATGCACCCACTCCTTCTTTCTTGCCCAGTAATATTCCACTGTGCACATTCCAGCATTCTGTATGTCCTTCATTCATCAGGTGACCGGCCTTTGGGTTGTTTCCACTTTCTGACTATTGTGGATACATGGAATGGTTTTTGTTAGTTTGTTTCATTCTGTTTTTACTTTTGCCCATTACACTCCACCCTCCTTTTTTGAGAGACAATTTAAAACCTCCCTCTTTTATCAAATTCCTGAACCCTGAAAATATCAAAGCAGTTTACTTCAGTAGACATTCCTACTATGGCTTTACATAGTAGTTTTTGGAGGGAGGAGGGCAAAGGTGGGGTATTTATCAAGAGTTTGGGGTGGACTTTCAGTGCAGGCTTTTGATTAGGATTTAGGCAAAGTTCACCATAGAAAGTTTGAGAAGGGAGGCACTGGGCCACGTTTTTTTCCCATTGGGTCTTGGGGCTGGCTCCTGCAGTTGAGTTTCCGTCTCCACATCTGTAAGTGGAAGACATGTATGACAAAATGCTCCCCGTTGGCACACGATAAGCGCTA